CCTAGTAGGTTTCTCTGGAGTTGCACAGTGTCGCAGTGTCTCTCTCTCTCTCTCTCTCTCTCTCTCTCTCTCTCTCTCTCTCTCTCTCTCTCTCTCTTTTTCCTTTCACCTGCTTGTCAGGACGATGGCAAACCTCGTCGACAGCGTCGCCGAATTCTCGAGCAGAGCTCGACAGCTCCTCGGAGACGCCGAGTCGGCGAAGCTCCACGCGGCAGACATCCGCACTTTCGGAACGTTGGCGTACAGCGTCGCTGACCAACCTGACCGCATCAGCGATGCCAGGTTTGAAGAACTTCTTAAGAAGGTCTTCACCACGGACCCCAGCCTGGGTACCAAAGCCGCAGTGCGGCGACTGGCTTTTGAAAGTCTGACTTTCAGTATCCAGGATCTCAAGTCGAGAATGGACGGTGACAGCGTCACCCCCAAAAGTCTGCCTGTGCACGAGCGTGAGGAGCGCCGCACCGCGCAAGTTGCGCGCCTTCGGGGTGTCGTTATCGAGGGCGACTACGACCCCGCACACAGTCTCGTCGACAAAGCCGCACTCATGCTCCAGGACGGCATGGTCCGTTACATCCCGCCGTCGCAGTGCGTCAGCAGGGATGCCGAGATCGCTTCAGTGAGGCGTGACAGGGACTTCCTCTCCCTAGAGTCTGGGGAGCTCACCTTGAAGAAGAAGGAGCACAGCGTGCACGTCGAGATAGGAAACGAGCTGAAGCTCACGCAGGCCCTGACGCGCAGGGGTCTCGCGCTCGACAGAGTCGGCGTGCTGGACTTTACGATTCACGAGAGACTCGTGAGACAGTTCTTCTCTGTCCTGAACCGGCCAGCGCCGCCGGGAATGGAACGCGGAAGCAGTTGGCACGTAGTACGTGCTGACAAAGAACTCTGGACCTTGCTCGCGCGAGAATGTCGCAAGGGGTGCAAACCGGACAAGGATGGTAAGCGGCCGTTGGACTCTCTAGTAGAGAGTTTGTGGTCCGATCCTATCGTCACGATGCACCTTCTCCCATCGCCAGCGGCGGACAGGGGCCGCAAGGGCAAGGGCCGCAGTTACACCCGCGGCGACGAAAATCGCAGTCGTAGCACGACTGGCAAAGGTAAGAAGGGCGGCAAAGGAAAAGGCCGCGGAAAAGGAAAAAGCAAGCGCCACGAGAGCGCAGACCGCTCCAGCCCGCCGAGCATGCCAAAGGAGCTTCGCCACTTGAACAGCGTTTCCAAGTCCGGCAAGCGCCTGTGCTACGGTTTTAACCTGGAGACTTCTGGCTCCCCGAAGCAGTGCGATCGAGGACTGCATCAGTGCATGAGCTGCGGCAGCTCCGAGCATGGAGCCGCAGACTGCCCCAAAGAAGCGGGGGCTGCTTGACTAGCCGACGTTACAACGGGCGCGGCAGAGCCGCTGGAGCCCCCCGCCAGCGTGCGTCCAGGAAATTGCGCAGTTGCGCAAAGCAGGACCCCTCAGCAGCACGGCCCCGTGGTCGCGCCATTTTCGGCTCTTCCGGCAGAGCCGTCACCGCCCCCTGCCACCAGTAAGCCAGGGATTCCGGTGGCAGCGCCAACGCCCGCGGTTACTCTTGCGCCAGAGACCGCCCCGCAACTTGTTTTGGCAGAGCAGCAAAGTGTCCCAGCGGACGCTGCTGTAGACACCACCCCCGCAGAACCGGCTCAGCGAGCAGGAATCCGGCCACCACTTTTCGTAGAAGTTTTCTGCGGCCTGGGCCGCCTTAGCAAGGCGGCCATCGAGAAAGGTTTCTCGAACATCGCGGTGGATCACAGGACCAAGGCCAGAGGCCTCAAGGTCTTGCAGCTTGATCTCTGCACGCAGCTAGGCCGCAACCTCCTGAAAGCAGTGCTTTCACATGAAGACTTGCGCTGGGTCCACTGGGCCCCTCCGTGCGGCACCTTTAGCAGAGCTAGAGAGATCCCCAGGCCCGGAGCGCCAAGCCCCCTGCGCAGCGAGTCGCGCCCGGCCGGCCTCAAAGGCTTCAGTGGGGTCGATGCCGCCAGAGTTCGCAGCGCGAACAGTCTCGTAGCTTTCATGGCACAGTGCTGCCGCAGATTGTCTCAGCGAGACGTCTGTTGGTCCATCGAGAATCCAGCCAGAAGCCTGCTCTGGCGGATGCCGTGTCTCAGAGAGACACTACGATCTGCCCACAGAGTGGAGTTTGACGCTTGCATGTTCGGCAGCTTCCGCCGTAAGCGTACGGCCCTCCTCTCGAACCTAGACTGGTTCTCGGGCCTCAGCAGAGATTGCGATGGAGGCCACAGGCACCTGCCATGGGGCAGAGCCTCCTTGGACGGGTCCACAGTGTGGTCCACGTCCCTGGAAAGCGCGTACACCACACAGCTCAGCTCTGCGTGGGTGTCCTTGGCCGCAGAGAAATGCGCCACACAGCTTCGGGCAGCGCCCCTCTCCCGCAAGCGTCTGCGACGCTTGCGTTACGAACCAGATTTCAGTGACAAGGTCACTCTGGAAGGTGCCGCAGCGCGGTGCTTTCGGGGATGGAAGACTCCACAGAAGTTACCGCCTTCGTGGTCTTGCTTCCCCAAAGGTTCCAGGCTCGTCCAGTGGATCGAAGCCACTCAGAAAGCAATCATCGCAATCCCATTGCAACCTCTGCATTGGGTGCGCAGAGCGCACCTCATAGATCACCCCGCCAGGGACATTGAGGCGGTGCCCCTGTCCCTCAAGCGCGCCATTTCCGCCGAAGTTCACGAGGACACCGTCTCCCTGGCTAAGCGCCGCACCATGGCGTCAATGCATATCTCCAAGACCTGCACAGAGTGCAAAGCGCTTGAGGCCGAGGCCCGCGCCTCCAATGACGCCCAGGTTAACAGTGTTACCCTGCCCAAGCAGACAATCGCTTTAGAAAAGCTTCTACGAGAAGTCAGCTTCCCCGACAGTCTCGTGGCGAAGCAGGTGCGAGAAGGTTTCCCCCTTCTCGGCTGGACACAGCCCAGCGGACTGTGGCCTGTGCAGATTCTGCCGCCCTCTTTGGACGAGGAATCCATTCTGCAGAACTCCCACGGCATAGGCATGCGGGGCGTGCGCAACGCCCTTCCCAGGATGGAGTCTCCGACAAAGTCTGGGAGACCACTTTGGAGGAGAGCCAGCAGGCTGGCTCTCTCTCGAAGACTTCTCGCCAGCTAGCCTGCACGAGACGATAGTGTCGTCTCGTTTTGGCGTAGTGCAAAAGGGTAAGGTTCGCCCCATCGACAACTTCAAAAGCAGTTTCATCAACAGCTGTTGCGGCACCACAGAGAAGGTGCAGGTCGATAGCATCGACGAGCTCTTGGCAGTATGCCTGGAATGGCTGCGCCAGGGGGTGCCCGCAGAGCAGGCGCATCGCATCTTGGGCAGGACCTGGGACCTGAAGAGCGCCTATAAGCAGCTCGCAATGCAAGCCGCGCACAAGAAATTTGCCTGCATCGCGATGGTGGACCCACAGAGTGGGAAGGTCAAAATTGCCCACCTGCATAGCATGCCTTTCGGCGCCGTGGCCGCCGTGTGCGCTGCAGCGAGGCGCTCAAAGCAATAGGCCGCGAGAAGCTCGCATTAGTAATGACGAGCTTCTTTGATGATTTTACAGTCCTTACGCGCAGCGCGAACGCTAAGCTCGTCACACTGGCAGTGGCCAATCTTTTCAGCAAGCTGGGCTGGCAAGTAGCCACAGAGCCCAAGAAGAACGCCGACTTCAGCGAAGTCTTCGACGTACTGGGCGTGAGAGTGGACTTGTCCAAGCAGCACCTCGGCGAGATTTCTGTCAGCAACAAGCCGACCAGAGCAGCAGAGCTAGGAATGGTCCTCAGCGAGGCCCTCTCGCGCGGCACCATGTCACCTCTCGAAGCGCAAAGCTTGCGCGGAAGGCTCATTTTTGCAGAGCAACAGGCGTGGGGCCGAAACACCCGCATGGCCGTGATCTGCGTGGGCGACGTAATTACCCGGGGAGGGCCCTGAGCAAGTCCCTCTCACCGAGCCGCAGTGCCAGGCCATGGCGTTCCTACTGCAGCGAGTTGTGCATGGACCGCCCAGGACAGTGTCCATCCATGCCCGCAGGAAGGTCCACCTGTACATCGATGGGGCCTGCGAGTGGGAGACCCCACGCTTGGTGCCCAAGTGCGGCCTCGGTGCAGTGCTCATCGGTGAAGGCATCGCCTTCACCTGGGGGTTACAGATCAGCGCCCAGGTAGCAGCCCAGTCCCCTAAGACTATCTTAGGCTATTTTTTGCCGTAGATTATTTTCACAACCTACGAAAAAACAAGAGGTAACTATATAGTTAGTTTTGTGGCTTGTTTGCGCAACCTACGAAAACTAACTATAGTCAAAAAAAGAAGATATATATCTTGCGGCAAAAACTAACTATATAGTTTGATTTTTGACTATTATAGGCAAAAATCAAACTATATAGTTAGTTTTGTGGGGGCCCAGCAACCCGAACTTTCGACGAAACTGCGTCGAAGTTTCGGGTTGTGATCTGGGGTGTAAACAGAAGTTTGATCGAAGTTTCCGTCGGTTGTTTGTGCCGGGAAACCGAAGTTTGGTCGAAGTTTGTTGTGCCGGGAGCCCGAAGTTTGGTCGAAGTTTGTTGTGCCGGGAACCCGAAGTTTGGTGGAAGTTTGTTGTGCCGGGAACCCGAAGTTTGGTGGAAGATTGCTGTGCCTAGTTTCCGATGTTTTTGAGTTGAAGTTTTGTTGGCTGGGACTTCGACGAGGGATACTTTGAGAGATAATAAGAACAAAACACACCCGTAGCATCATCAATACTACCAAGGATGCTCGGAGAGATAACTCGTTATCAATACTGTGAGGGATGCTTATCAATGATACTGTGAGGGATGCTCGGAGAGATAACGACAACAACATCAGCACGTCCCCTCCTCTAAGTAACCCTCTGCCCTCTTGTATCCCTCCACAAACAATGCCAACACTGCCGCTGCTGTTATCGCCTCACACTAGGACATCTTCCTAGGACACCACTTTCTTCCGCCATCATCATGCAAAGGTCCAACACGATTTCATCCACTTGGGTGAAAAAGTGGACAAAGGTGTGGGGCCAATACAGATTGAGAAAGATCGTCGATACAGCGGATGCCATCTCCGAGATTTGGGAGTGGGATCCAGCTTTGGCGAAGACCACCACCGTGACCGACGAGAAGGAGGAGAACAACAAGAAGGAGGAGAAAAGCTCGGAGGAGCCGAAGAACGACGAGGTCATGAAAGCGATGAAAGCGATGAAGGCCATGAAAGCGATGAAGGCGACGAAGGCCATGAAAGCGATGAAGGCGATGAAGGCCACGAAAGCGATGAAGGCGATGAAGGGCAAAATGAAGAAGCCGGATAAGAAGTGAGGGCCCCCCGGAAATCCGAAAGCAGCTGCTGCCCGGAGGAAGAAAACAAAGCGCCGGGAGTTGTAGAGTAGGGGTTAATGAGGGATAATACCTTGAGAGCTTTTAGCCCGAAGGAAACAGACAGACTTTGAAGGATACTTTGAGAGTTGTTTCAGGCCCGAAGAAAGAGACAGAAACTGAGGGATGCCTTGAGAGCTTATAGCCGGAAGGAAACAAACTTTGATGAGGGATACTTTGAGAGATGTCTCAGGCCCGAAGAAAAAGAAACAGAATCCGAGGGATGCTCTGAGAGCTTCTTATTATAGTCCGATGGAACAAGAAGCAGGGGGATGCTTTGAGAGTTTGTAGTCTGAAAGAGAAGCACAAATAAAGGAAGTTGCTACTTGGAGGGATACGGTATGGATCTGGAAGATGGTAGTTCGGAGGAAGCAGCCAGTCCCGGCAGGTCTGCTGGCTTCAGGCCTTTTGTCTTAGGGCAAGAAGAAGAAGCCAGCAACAACAGCAACAACAGTGCCAACACACAACAACAACACACTGCAGCAAACACCGTCCACAGCAAGCAGCACCACAGCAGACAGCTTAAGTAGGGGCACACAACAACACACTACTGCAGCAGCAAGCAGCTTCAGAGCGGCAGCACAACAACAGCACAGAAAAAACAGTGTTCCACACAGCAGCACACAGCAGCAGCAGCAAAAGCAGCACCAACTGCAGCAGCAACAGCACAGTAGTAGTAGAAAGGACTTTGTAGCCACTTCCATGGCCAACCTCGACTGTTTCCGATGCTATGTAAGAAACCTGGACTTTTTGACGACGTCCTCCAGTATCTTCGAAAATCTGCAGCGGCTTGGGCTTCGTGACTGCGTGCGAGTGCAACTGGTGCGAACCGGCCAATACAGACCGGATAAGATGTGTTCCGCATTCCTATCCTTCAAGTCTCAGGAGGCACTCCTCGCCGCTACACAAGCCTTAAATGGGGTACGTATGTGCTCCCGACACCCGCTTGCAGTGTCGCAAGCCAATGCCCGGCAAGGGCATCCTTCTATGTCGGCGGGCATCGGGGCAAAACAACCAGCAGCAGCACCTCCTCCTCGAGCACGTCCTGCCGCTGCTGCTGCTGGCCCATGTTTATATGGTGGTGGTGGTGGCAGCATTTCTTCTGGCAGCCAAGTTTTTTTACCTGGTGGTGGGAGGCCAGCAGTGCCTCGTGGTGTGGTGGTGCCTCCTCCTCGCCGCCCTCGGCCTCCACAGCAACCGCCGCCACCATGGCGGAGGCGGCTTGCTGGGTAGTAGTAGTAGTAGTCGTCGTAGTAGTAGTAGTAGTAGTGTGGGTGCGGTATAGTACCAGCAGCAGCAGGACACAACAGCCAGCGGCTCCGCCGGCGAAAGCGGCTGGGGAATTGAATCCGGATGGCACTAGTAGTAGTTGTAGTAGTAGTTGCAGCATTACTACTACCAACTATTACTACTAGTACTAGTACTACTACTACTACTACTACTGCTACTACTACTACTATTACTACTACTTCTACTACTACTGCTACTACTCCTACTACTACTTCTTCTAGTCCCCCACCCAAGGCCAAAAACGGCGAAGTCGCAGCCGAAGCTTCTTCCCGAAGGGAAGAAGCAGCCGCTGCTGCCCTCGAATCCGGGCTGCAAACAAATAGTACTACTACTGTTAGTAGTAGTAGTAGTGCTGTAGTAGTAGTAGTAGTAGTAGCAGAAGCAATAATAGCAGTAGTACCAGTAGCAGTGGTAGTACCATGGCAACAAAACCCCCGAGGCCACCACCCTATCCACCTCCCGCGGCGGCGAAGAATCTGGACGGCAAGCTGTTTATTTTTATACTTGTTGCAGAGATAAGAATACTTTGAGAGATCTTTCCAGGGATACTGTGAGAGATCGTTTTTAATAAAGCTACTCCGAGGGATGCTTGGAGAGACATTTTGAATGAGCCTTTGAGGGATACTTTGAGGGTGCCTGTGGAGATGCTTTAAGAAGACATGAGGGGTACTGTGAGGGGTCTTACTCCGAGGAGGGATGCTGGGCCTGTGAGGGATACTTTGAGGGTGCTTTGAGAGATGCTTTAAGAAGACATGAGGGGTACTTTGAGAGATCGCTTGTTATATTAAAAGCCAATGTGCATGTGTGTGTATATACATGTATATATTTATATGTGTATAATATGTGTTTGTGTATATACCTATGTATCTCAAAGCCTCTTTCAAAGTATTTCTCCAAGCACCCCTCAGAGTAACCCAGTCTGCGAGGAGACCCTGGGCCTCCTAGTAGTATTACAATAATGTGTAACATATATATATATATATGTTACGGAAACATGTATTCATGTGCATATATACATTGATGAGGGTGCCTTTAGAGATTCTTTATTAAGAAGACATGAGGGCTACTTTGAGAGATTTGAGAGATCGTTTTTATATTCAAAGCTACTCCGAGGGGTGCTTGGAGAGATACTTTGAGAGATCAGAGCTGCTCGGAGGGATACTACTTGGAGGGACGACAATATGATTTCCTCATTATTATTATCCCCAAGACTAGTAGTACTAGAGCTAATCTGACGGGAAGTACTTGCCTGGGACTTCGACGGATACTTTGAGAGATAACAATAAAACACACTCGTATCAATACTGTGTGGGATGCTCGGAGAGATAAGAAGGTATCGGAGACAATCAGCTTCTGAGGGATACTTGGAGGGATGCTTCTTGGAGAGATAAACTGGAAGATATCGGAGGGATAAAACCCTGAGGGAGTTTTCAGTGAGCTTTTGAGAAATGCATCATGCTTTTGTGCGGGGTGCCGTCCTTTCTCGACCAAGGCTTGGAGGAGCTGCCCATGCTGGTGGCCATGGAGGTGAATATGTTTTTCTGGATGGTGGTCGTGACTATGGAGGACCTCCTATTAAAAAACAAAAGCGGGCCGAGGAGAAGGAGGCCGACGACACGGAGGAATCATCCGACGACGACAACAGGACTCGCTTTGGCCAGGACGAGGACACCGCCTTTGCTGCTGCTGAGGACGACGACAACAAGACGATATTGCCCGAGGGGGGCCGTATTGATGAGCTGGACATGTCCGAGCTCGACACGATGATTCTAGCAGCCTCGCGAGAAGCCAGGAAAACAAGGTCCCGTCCGGAGTGAGTGTCGTGCATGATCAGAGCTGCAAAGCATTGTTACCGTGAGTTGTGACGAAGAAAGAAGAGAGTTAGAAGTGTTACCTTTGGAGATATCAGGATAAAGCCAAATGTCATAGACACAAAGACAAAACATATGGAAATAGCACTGTTCATTCAGAAAGATCGAGAGTGGTACTTCCAGAGATAGTAAAAAGAAATATTTGAAAGGCTAGTGCTACCTCAAAAGATAATCGTATTGTGGCTGCTACTTTGAGAGATTCCTGGGGAGCTTCGACAGACAGACAGAAGCCACTTCGTGATGTTCATTGGGCCCAGGTTTTCTTCGCAGCGAAGGATGCGAGCATGTATGTGGAACCGTGATAGAGCAACCTCTATGGTTTATTATTCGAGTAGTGCATGAACTCACTACATCCAGAGCTTATTCTTTCAGTGCCTATCATTAGTACGGGGGGTTTTGCAATCAAACAAGGGTTTTGAATACATAATAATAGCATCGTTATGGCGAGTGGCAGTGCTGCGAAGCGGGCTCGTGCGAACCCGGACTTGACAGTTCAGGATATACAGAAGCCGATCGAGGACTACATGGATTCGATGCAGTCCCGTCACCTACACAAGTTGGTGGCACCACCAGTGAATGTGAGCTGGAAGTCGGCAGTACCAGTTTCATGGATTGTACGATTGGACCGATTGTACAGTGGGATTCTTGCCAAAGCAACCAACGGTATTTTGCACAAATCGAAAGTCAAGCTTGCTTTGGAGGCCTGCCATGCGAAAAGTTCGATTAATGGTACGAAGCTGGAGGACTCCGCCCTCATCGATTCCGTGTCCGAGAACATCCGTATGGGCCTATCCCATTTGAGGTCATTGAAATGTGACCGTGGACTTCTTGATCGTGCCCACCGCAGGTTCAGCGACAGCGAGATGAGAGTCATCAGCGATTTGGCTTTTAATCGGCGCTTTTCCGTTTCGGGATTCCTATTGCAACCGTTTACTTTTGTTTGGTATACTGAAGAATAAGCCATCCCCGAAAAACGAGGCAAGCTCTTGGCTATGATGAAAGATGTGGTGCCGGCTATGAGCACCCAGAATTCGTTTGGCAGCAGCGGCGGCGAAACAACGAGTGCGGCTGCTGGTGGTACTACTACTACTACTGTTGCTGCTCAGGCCGACGAGTCGCCCCCCACCGAGGAGCCAGAGACGGATAATCCGATGCAGATGCTGGACCAGATTTTGGGTGCCCATCCGATTCGGTCGTCTTCTGAGGAGCACGACGAGGACGAGAAGAATGCAGACGATGATGCGAGCTCCGATGGCTTCGTGGTGCCAGGGCTCAGGATTTTTGGTGGTGCTACTAAGGGGCGGGGTAGCGAGCACAGGGTGCTGAGAGAGGCGTCTTCGGCGGAAGCTGCCTCATCAACTGCTGCAGGCCCAACTATCCAGGAGATTTTTGAGGAGGAGCCGGCAGCCGAGAAGACCGAGAAGAAGAAGGCGAAGATGAAGAAGAACACCGTGGACAAGCAGGTGTGGGTTTCGAGCTGGAAATAACAATAATACCCGAACAAGACCCTAGAGGATGATGACGATGATGATGACGATGATTTTTTATTGTGGTTGTTCGTGCTCCTTTTCGTCGTGGTAAAGCTTCGAGTCATCCCTGCAAAAAAAACAATTCCTAGAGTGCACAGATGCCAAGAGCGAATACAAAGTCGCGAGTTGTTGCATGGTAGTACCACGAGGGATGCTACGATGGTGTATCCTTTCTTGCTTTCGTGCCTCGAGTGTATAAGAATAGAAACCGATGGTCCATCGGAGCCAAATACAACAAGCCTTACTTCTTTTGCAAATATTATTTGGAGAAGGCTGGGGCCAACGAGCGAACAGGGACCAAGAAGTCGACTCCATCGTCGGCTTCGGCGGCCAAGAACAAGAAGCCTGTGCTCATGGATGCCTCTGAGGAGGATTTGCTTCGACGGATTCGAAGCAAGACGAGGCCCGCCAATGAGGATGAGAAGGCTACTTTGAGGAAGACCTACAACCAAGCCGTGAAGAAGAAGCCGAGTGCAAAAGAAACCAAGGGTTCAAGCGAGAAGCCGACGAAGGCCAAGAAAGGCAAGCATCCCGACGAGCCGAAGGAGGCACCGAAAAAAAGGCCGGCTGGCATCCTGAAGAGGGGCAAGAGCACTATTTTCGATGATGGGACATTGGCGGGCAACAAGCCAAAACAGCCGATGAAGAAGCAGCGACAGATCGCGGAGGACAGCAGCGGGGTTCTTTGAGCTGAGTTTCAGAGTCATGTTTGTTTTGCTGCGGAATCCACTACTCAAGTTGAGTATTTGAGAAACAATATGAAAAGCCACAACCTCGACTATCTTCATATCTAAAACCCAGAAGCTTGTATCTGTATTTCTAGGACCCGCAACAGCATTCCTGATTGGGTTTTGCACTTTCTTGCATGTTCGGCAACAACAACAACAACGACATACCTCCAAAAAGATAACCCCCTAAACCCCTAAACCCTTAGTCTTTTCCTACATCATCATCCACATTATTATAGACTGAAGCCCCATTCTTGTTTAACATAGAAAATTCGTGCAAGGCTGTGGATGATCAGCAGGCAAACGATGAGCAGGCTTCCCATGGCAGCCACGAGTGGTGGTGGTGGGACGAGTCCTGGTGCGAGGAGTCTCCCGAGGAGGAGGCCGATGGCTTCGAGGATGACCCCATCCTGGAGGAGGATGGTCGTGCCAACGATGAATACGAGGACGAGGAGAAGAAGGACGGCAAGGGCGAGAGGAATGATGGGGTGGAGCAGCCATCACGATCTGTGCTGCGACACCGGGCCGTGACAAGTGCATACAGAAAGGCCTTCGATGTGCACAAGCCGAAAGGCGACCAAAAGAATGATCCCACATTGCTGGCGGCAGCTCGTGGGAAAGCCAAAGAAGCCCATCACGAGGCAGGGAAATGCTTCGATGCAAAGTACCCGAGGAAGTGAGACGAGCACCTGGGGATGAACCGGGGTGGCAGCAACCTCCTGCTGTGGACGATATCGGATGATTTTGGTGGCGGCTTATCACGATTCAACAGTGACCGGTCGTCGCACCACATCCGAGTTTTGATGGCTGACGACAACCACCAGAAGCCCAAAATAGCTATGTGCGATTGAGGGTCTGCTTGAGTGATCAGACATTTAGGAGGTCGGAAACATACATGTCGCAGCTCGAGAGCTTTGGTTTTCGATCATGACCAGCCAGCCAAACATCGAAGTTTGGTCGAAGTTTCGTCGAAACTTCGACTTAGCACAAGCCGCAGTTTGGTCGAAGTTTGGCCGCTGTTTGGTCGCAGTTTAAGTTGTGTAAGTCGAAGTTTCGACTTATCTTTGCACACTTACTCGAGAGGTAACACTATTGATATATCAAAACTTCGACTTAGCCTATCTAAAACTTCGACTTAAACTTCGACTTAGTAAGTCGAAGTTTCGACGAAACTTCGACCAAACTTCGATATACGGTGGTCGTACGGGGTCGAAGTTTCGAAGAAGTTTCGAGTAAAGTTCGGTGTGCCAAATCGGAGTTTCAGCGAAGTTTGTGCAGTGATGATTGTATATGGATGACAATAATGGATGACTTGCCGCCTTCTCCTGCCATCGAAGCTTTTTGAGAGTTGCGACAGGCTTCTTATTGACTCCCATCCTTGTTCGGCTCCTCCTCTCCTGCTGCACAACAACAATGATGAAGCGACCCTCGGCTGCTGTTGTTATGAAGAAGAGCAAGAAGATTTTCATCAAGAAGAACAGCAAGCCCGGCAAGAGTGGTGGCCCAGTCATCAAGAAGAAGCCCGGTGCCGGGCCCACGACATTGAAGGATGCCGTCGAGGGCATCAAGAAGTCGTCCATGGACAAGGACAACATGTGGGACGACCAGTCGGCCGAAGAGGACAACGGTGCGGGCTCATCCACGGACTCGAAGAGAGACAAAGGGAAAGCGGAAAAATTCACGAAGATGAGGTTGGCAGGGAGTTTACCACCATATGTGGTTGACTTGTATGATAATGCTGCCAACCAGAAAGAATCCCCTCGCCAATTCCGCACGGAGATTATCAACACCTTGTTCAAGAGGAACCCCAAGACCGGGCGGTACAGCTTGATTGACGACCAGCCGTTATTCACCGAGGCGAAACGAGTTTGGGAGAAAAAGTTCGGCACCGATGGCAAGGAGAGCTACACCAAGCTCGTCATGCGAGGACTTTTCTTCGGAAACTCGGAGTCAGTGCCATGTCTCAACAAAGCAATGTTTTTTCTTTTGTTAAAATACACTCGGGGACTACACCCACTAAGGTTTTAGAACTGTATTATTCGCGAAAAGAAACCTGAGCCCTAAACCTTACATCCTTAAACAACCTCGAGCCGAAACCGCTCTGCTTCTGCTACATTCCTATTACACCCACTAAGGTTTCAGAACTGTATTATTCGCGAAAAGAAACCTGAGCCCTAAACCTTACATCCTTAAACAACCTCGAGCCGAAAGCACTCTGCTTCTGCTACATTACTAATACACCCACAAAGGTACTAAAGCTGTATTATTCGCGAAAAGAAACCTAAGCCCTAAACCTTACATCCTTTAACAACCTCGAGCCGAAACCGCTCTGCTTCTGCTACATTCCTAATACACCCACTAAGTTTTAGAACTGTATTATTCGCGAAAAGAAACCTGAGCCCTAAACCTTACATCCTTAAACAACCTCGAGCCGAAAGCATTCTGCTTCTGCTACATTACTAATACACCCACAAAGGTACTAAAGCTGTATTATTCGCGAAAAGAAACCTAAGCCCTAAACCTTACATCCTTTAACAACCTCGAGCCGAAACCGCTCTGCTTCTGCTACATTCCTAATACACCCACTAAGTTTTAGAACTGTATTATTCGCGAAAAGAAACCTGAGCCCTAAACCTTACATCCTTAAACAACCTCGAGCCGAAAGCATTCTGCTTCTGCTACATTACTAATACACCCACAAAGGTACTAAAGCTGTATTATTCCCCAAAAGAAACCTGAGCCCTAAACCTTACATCCTTTAACAACCTCGAGCCGAAAGCATTCTGCTTCTGCTCCATTTGTCGTCATAACAATAATAACAACACCGCAACGATGATGCTAGCCTTAATAAACGAAAACAACCCTTAAACCTTGTTATTCCACTCTTTCTTTATCCCCGAACCAACAACAGCCCTGAAAACTGCAACACCTGAAAAAACTATCCCTGTGCTGCTGGTGCTGGTCGTTGCTACTGTGGTTGTTGTTGTGATCGCTGTTGCTGCTGTTGTTTGTTGCTGCAGCTGAGGCTATGAATGCAGCAATTGAGGCTGGAGAGGTCACCGAGTTCAAGTCCAAGGACGGAACGTGTTTCTACTCATTCCGCAAAATGACAGCTGGTGTTGAAACCGGACAAGAGAGCAGCCTGGGCTACACGAAGCAGGCCAAGGGCACCCAGCAGCAAGCGGACATGCTGGAGGCAATGTTCGACAAGCTCGATTGGAGCATGCCCTACAAGGGTACCGATGCCCTGGTGGTTGAGCCTGGCAAGAAGCTGCCGAAGCCCATGGCGGCCTTCTTGGAGAAGGCGGTGGCCACACAGATCCGCTTGGGTGGCGAGACCATGAGGCTCTTGAAGAAGCTACCCGACATCTTTTGTATAACATGATGTTTGATGTTTACAACACCGCAGGGAAGAATCCTGAACTGTCCCGTGTCGTAGGATAGACAAAAGGGGGTCTTGTTTGCTGATTGCCATGCACAATCCAGGCATGTTATTATCTTCTTGGTCAGAACTACATCACAACCCCTCACTCAAAAGTATCTCTCAAAGTAGCCCTCCAAGTGTCGCTGAGTTCTCGAAACACTTCATCGAAGTTACCCAGGTCTCGTTCAAAGTAGCCCTCCAGGAAACTACTCCACATATCATCCCGCCGTTTCGCTGCCGTCACAACCCATCATCCATCATCACTCCAAGTATCCCTCCAGGCATCCCTCCAAGAAAAGGGTTTTAGGGTTTTGTTTGGGGTGTATTGGAGGTTTTAGGTTTCTGTGTTTTGAGGTTTGTGGGTTTAGCCCTATTACTAATAAAGCTCGCGACAATCTTCCAAATTATGCTTGACTGAGGCTTCCCCAGGAGTCGTCGGACGACTATGACAAGCTCAAGAAGGCCTACGTTGAGAGCCAGAAGATGCTCGGCGAATGCCGCCATATCCTGGCCTGGAAGGAGATGCCTGATTCGCAACCTATTTCAAAAGACAATTTCGACAAGTTCATGACATTTGTCGCCAAGCAGACGTTGGCCCACCACGAGTTGCTCGCAAACGGCAAAGCCGTTGTCAAGGCCACAAAGTGAGATCGCGATCTTCGTATGTCGAGCCGTGTCGTGGATGATTCTCTGGAGTGCTGGCTACTTCCGGCTTGTTTTCAAAGCCTTACACAGGACTTATTATGGGTTTAGATTTATTGGGTCGGGGCTCCTGGGGCAACCAATTATTATTTGACAGCTAGCTGCACAAGGGGGGGGGGTCGTCCATGACGATTTTGGGCTTTCTCTGATCTCGCACTCGTGCTTTCGTGAGTTGGACAAAAAAAGCGCGAACAGAGACAGTGCCGAAGCTTATTATGGCGAAAACTTCACCAACAACTACTATATAAGAAGCTTTCTATATATTCATATTCAGAGAGGGGTTCTTGAGTGCAGGATTAGTATTATGATTGGAATAGCTATCATAATAATCGTGTCAGGCATAAAATTACACTATCCAGAAGAAGAATGCAAACAAAGAGGGATTCCTGGAGTGTATAAACATAATAATCAGAACGAGAATCAGAGGTAGTATCATAAATATGCGAGGATGATCCTTCTCAGTGCAATTCCGAAGATGCCCTTTGCCGATGCTCAGGCTTTGTTGACGACACTAATAATGCGTGGGGGATTGATCTCGACTAAGTTGCTGCTCTCCCCACCAGAGCTGTAATGAATGTAGGTGTGGCTGGCTTGCACTCTCCACAGACTGGACCCTGTCTCTCTCACACTTCCACACGTGCAATCCTATGCAGGCAGAACCGGCGGCCGTTCCTTTTGCACTCACTGCCGGCGGCGGTTCGTCTGTGCAACGGGATAGCTTTGATTGCTCAGGATAGAAGACACTTATAGCACTTAGCTATGGGCATTGACTTGAGCCAAACGTTGCGTGGGCGGTCACATAGAAAGGTAAAGACGAGGGACGCGTAGCGTGCCCCCTTAGAGTCGAGGGACGCGTAGCGTGCCCCCTTCTCTTGCACTTTACACGGTATTGCTCACAGCTCTTATAGTGACACCTTAGAACTTGACAAGGCATCGCAGTCCGTTCGCACCCCCCATGAGTTGCGTCTCCGACGCTGCTCACCCGGAAGATGGCACGATAGGACAACAGAAAATGTTCCGCCGCAACGTTGACATTGAAAATCAGAGCTTTGCATACCAATTAGAAACGTTGTGACACTCATCTACGTCAGTAACGATCCCCTGAAATGGCAAACGAATCAGGCGTCACCGAAGAAAGAAGCATTCGCGATGGCATGCCATGGGCGAAGCTCAGAGGTCACGAACTGATAGGCGAGGAAGACCAAGCGTTGATTCATCTCCATCTTCGCGTGGTCGCAGGATCGCGGTCACAGGGCCGGAGGTTTTCCTCTGGATACTGTTCCCTTTGCTTTCCTTTGTCCTTGCCTTTGTTTCGGCCTTTGCCGGCGGTGTAGTCATAGTAGGTGTTGGCGTTCCAACCTCCATGCTGTTCACCTCCGGCTCTCTCACGCCCCTTTGAAGGTCCCTTGGCCGAAGAAGCGCTTGCACGTTCCTCCGTAGTGACAGGCGTGTCCAGGATGGAAGTACCACCTGGAGGGAGATAGTCAGCGGCCGAAATGTGGTGTAGGGCTTCAGTACGCTTGGTTGTCGGGTTTTGCTGTCTCTCAGCCTTGGATCTGTTCAATCTGTCCATGAAATGCGCAGGCATTTGCACATTGTGGTCCACCAGCAATCCAATGGTCTGGACTGAATGATCGGCATGAGTCAGCAGGATAACGACGGGGTCGATGTACAAGAAGTCCACCGGTCCAGTTGGCGTTGGTCGTAGCACTGAGAATTGTTGGTGTCCTGTCACCATCGGAATCACCTCGCACAGGACGTTCAGGCAACAGAAGTGCATAGCCTTCACATCTTCATCCCTGTTGCTCTTCAAGTACGTAGTAGGGTTGAAGTTGTCCCTGCCAATTACCATCATGTTGGCTCCCCGTGTAAGCAACGAAAGCATCTGATTCGTCCGGAAGCGCTTCAAAGTGTAAGTCCCGTTGGGATCGTACTGCTTGAGGTTCTCAAGCTCCTTGGCAAAGCGAATGATCTCCTCATCAGTCACATCCCTGCTCACACCCGTCTCTCTGTCCACTACAGCCAAAGATCCCCACTTTCCGAGCACATCATAGCGTTGGCCAAGTGCGAAATTCTCCTTCATCTGAAACAATGGCATAGTAGCCCACTTCGCGAATCCTGACCAAGCCTTGTAGATGGTCCTGCATACCACGAAAGCCATATACGAAAGAGCGACCATGTTGGCGTCAATGCAATGGGCATTTCGCTTCCCTGAGTAGTAGGATGGCTGCATGGCGGTACGTGCGAGTTGTAGCTCAGGATCGATGTTCAAAGACTGGCAGGTAATGAAGACGGGACGGCGTTCCTGTGCAACTGCATCTGGTACTGCGTCATCAAAGTCCTCTCCTGGCTCTATGTCCATTTCTTCATCAGGTTCCTGTTTTGGATCGTCCTCCGCGATGACAGATGGTTCTGGGATTTCCTCAGGTTCCGCAACGGTCTCTACCTCCATGGCTTCCTGCTCCTCTTCGGGCGCCTCAGGCACTGCTGCTGCCGCGGCTTCCATTGTCTGAGCAATGAAGTCACTGGGGATCTCCGTAGGAGTCTCCCGTTGTGGAGAACCGTGGTAATACCCGCTAGAAACGAATTGTGACCAGCAAGACGTGCATCGGGAGAAGCATGCTGGAACGATGTTGTAGCATGCCGGGCACACCCTCATTCTCCTTCCATCCTCGTCTCTGCGTAGGTCTTCGGGTCGCCAATTCTTGATGACAAACTTGATCCCTTTGTCCATGTAGTGATGCCGAACAGTGTTCTCCCTGTGGGACTCCAGGACAGTCGTAAGGTCTCGAATGATCTGCTCCTTGCTGGTGTCGTGGGGTCCAGGAGGCATCTCGCAAAGCAATTCCATGATCTTGCTTGGCGTTCGGTATCTCTCGAACTCAGGAAGCAAAGGTGATGCATTGTAGTCCAACACCAGCTCTTTCTCCAACCGTTCATCGTAAATCTTCTCCACCAGAGCGAAAGAGTGTGTATCTTGAGGATCCGGGACGCAAAACCATACCTCCTTGACGAACTGGAACGGTATCGTTCGGCCAACGATCATGATGCCGCTGTCTGTGATACGTCCATCCTCTCGTGCAAGGTCCTGCGATGGGACATGAAGGACCGCCAGTGGCATGTGCTTGGCATCTCGTCCATGTACCCCCATCTTGGTCGTCGCATTCCGGTGATCGAACGGTGCAAACACCCCCCAATAGCTGTGGAGTCTGCCGCCTTGGTTGCCTCGAAATTGGCGCCTATGGTCGAAGTCCCCGTCGGGGTCCTCCGAACCAGGCATGATGCCTTGCATGACAATGGAATCCAAGTTGCGGCATGCCGTAGCGTGGAACGCGCCTCCAAGACGTTGCAAGAGGGTCATAGATGGAGATATTGCGAACCTGTTCTTGTCAAACTGAAGCAAATTGTTCTGGGGATCTGAGTGCGCAGAGTGACCACTTGTAGCCCGAACTGCCCATGGCTTCACCCAGCCGTTGCAAACGTTCAGGTACCTCTGGCTGTGCCGGCAACGATAATTGTTCTGGATCTCCGTGATCTGGTCAGGAATCGATACCAACATGTTCGAACCTGCGGATCCAAGAGTTTCCACGCCGGGGTCCTTCACTCTCACTCCCAGGAACTGCAACCGAATCTTGGCCTTATGGCGTTTCGTGGCTGCGAGCATGTTCCCTTGGAACAATAGCTGAAGTCTTTAATTGTACACTCTCTTCTTCTGTTGCTCATCGGTCCTTGAGACCGCTTCGGTGATGCGTCTGCTTTCATGGGTCCATAGTTGCTCATGCCTCACCAAGTCCTCGATCAGCACCCACCCTCCTTCATCACATCGAATGACGCTGCTGAATGCCACCTGGCACCTGTTGTCAAGCCATTCCGAGCCTCCTGGGCGCCTGGCGATTCTGTGACGCAGGTCAGATTGGATGCATGACAGCGCCCAATCCGCGTTTATTCTGCGATGACGGGTGATGTTGCGAAGGACAACTTCGTTCACGATGTCCCATCGATTGTGGATGAAGCTTGCACCCTTGGTTGGGATCAGGTCGAGAATCCCGCACCGGCTTGGCCTTCCGCCGCCGATGCATTCGTAGCCTGCATTGGTGTAGCCCTGAATGGTATCATCATAATCAAAGCTAGGACGGTCTCCTCGTTGAGGTAGGCGTCGGTCGCGATGGTCCGAAAGCTGCTCAATGAGGTCCACCACCCGCTGGCTATTCTCTGGTCC